ACTTCATCCCCTTCTCAAGAGACTAATGCCTCGGGTACATATACAGTACCCTCCCCATTTTCCGTTTACCTCCTTATGTACCGGAGCTGTAGGCATGTTCACTTCTACATTACACAATTAACGGTTGTCACCGCTAAGCCGTTGACTTTAAAGTCCACTACCAAATCTCCTCTTTGGTGGCGGAGATATAGGCGGCGAAGCGTCGCTTCAGTGTTCCCAAAAATCTACGCGGCGAGACGGAGACGGAGAATGTGTAGCTCTCCGGGCTAATACCTGCGATATCGGTCGCTGTCCTGTGACAATGTCCGAATATAGCTTCCGATGTAAAGGGCAATTCACGTGCCCCGCGCGTCTCCTCGCCTTAGGCCGTCGTCTAGACCGGTACTAAAATGCTTCCTGCGTACGACGCCCCAGCTACATACCACCGGAGCAGGCGAACTTGTCCGTCTCTGCAACTACCACAAGCCCCGGCGAGTCCATACCCCGAGTCTGGATTCGCCAGAGACGCCCGTGAAAGCGTATCACTGGCGGAGGTCTTGGCCCGGACACCCGCCGTACCCTGGTCTTCTCTCGGGTCGGTAGATCGGGACAGTTACGAATGAGCACTAGAGTTTATCAATATGACGATTTCAAGTATTTACTTACCTATGAAATAAAGGTGATTAGAGTATGAGTTTGCCGAATACCCGCAGCGTGGCAAAAGCGTACAATCTTAATATCCTCCTCGTACGTCCATCTCTTTTCAAAGAAACCAGAATTCGTTTTATTATTCCGCAAAAAAAAACAAGACCAAGAACTTGTTTCATTTCAGTGAGCACAGCCCAGACTGTAACAGTGTCAGTGCTACCAGTGTAAACTTGCCATATTTTCGACGCACAGAAAGGTATTCAGTGGAGTATTTTTTTACTATTGCGGTGCGACCTCTTTCATCGTTATCCCACCTTTTTATCGCTCTTTTCTTTTTCAATTTTGGACCGTTCTTTAATTATTTTTTTCGTCATTCTTACTTTTCTTCATTCTGTCACTCACTCCTAAACTTACGAAGCGAGCAGACGTGCTCGACTTCATATCAAATACTGACCAGTTATGCCATTGAAAATCATGTAACCTAACTGCTTGTAAAGCATGCTATTTGTACAAGTACAGGCCCTTTTGGAGTAAGTTCGTTTTTACCATGTCTAACGTATGTTTATACCCTTATTCAGTTTTGTTACACCTTTATCTTTCTTCTTTTTCCTATTCTTTATCTATTCCTATTTTAAAATAAGCCTTTTATTTGATTACTCAAAACCATCGGTCACAACTGTAGTGGGACTATAATATAGGCTAACTATTATTTTTAACTTCCATCGCCTTCTTCTTATCGTATGGATATTTTTTATGATACCAATGGTCAGTTGTCAGTTTGACATCAGAAATAGGTAAGGTGGCAGTACTTCCCTCGAAGAACTCTTTCACAAGAAGCTCTACTGCTACTAAACTGTATGTGGCATATACTATTATGCTTGCCATAGTGATGATAGGATTTGACAATCGGCGTAAGGTACTTAATCGACGTACGCCGTACGTGCTGTAAAGTAATGGTAGGTCATGCGGCGAGACTCCTTTCGTGCACCCTATTAACTTCCATGACATTGATTGCGTTGACATCCATCTTATAGTCTTCTTCACGTAATTTCGAAAACAACCGCTCACAAACGGTTCTGAGACGTCTGCATCCAACACCATCACCGTTGTCAATTCACCTGTGACGTGCATCTTTAGAATTATAAGAACAATTCTTGCTTGCTTGCACGTGATACCGTGTTCCATTTCGAAGATTTGATAAAACCATTGCAATCACAGACGGATGATTTTAATTAGGTACGCACGGTCGGTTGACACATTTACTCATTAAAGTAAAAGTCTGTAGGTAGCTTTCTGCTTCATGCAAATTAAGTGGCACGATGCAAGAATTAATCTTATTTATGCTTAGACTGTCTACTTGGTATGCATTGTATCACTACAATAAAGCTTTTATTTCAAAATACAGTTTCTAAATGCGCCCTCTGTAAGAATTAGAATCGAACGTTTTGGCTCCCGCTGAACGTTTGAATTGGTTCTAAGGGTTTGTTTTTTTTCGACTTTGGATAGCCGCGAATTGCACTCTGTTATTGCAGCTTTCACTTGTGGTCGACTTCCGAATATCGACATTAAAAGTACTTGTGAATTGAAGTCGTCAATTTTATATCACGAAATTAATAGAGGTCAATTATTGTTTCCCACTAGACTTAATCTCTAGAGTCCCAAAATTTTTGATCCAGCGAAAACATTACTCATGAATCCCGTAGGATTATAGGCATGGGACCCAAGTGGCAGGAGTGGAAATTTAAGAAGTTTTGTGAACACCTACATATTATTGATATAAAGACCAAACAAATACAAAGACAAATTCCTTCAACCCGGTTGGACCCGAACTGACGACTTTTCGCCAAACCGGGGCAATTGCTCTCTCAAGTGAACAACGAAATTGGTCAACAGACAATAGAAAATAATATTGCACCTACTTAAATATTTTTACCTAATTATTCGGTTCTCTTATGAAAGAAATGTCATTAATTTTTAATTACTGAACAAATGACAGACGACCCTTCTAAATATAATCTGTCAAGGACTCAAAAAATACTAATTTCCCAATCTGACATTACAGTAATTAATTAAAATTAACATCTTGGAATGACGCTAACAAAACTTTGATGTCCTAACAAAGTGTCCCTTTTCGAGGTCCTCTTAAAAGAAATATAAATCAAAATTGATTTTGTCGGCGACCCTGTCAACGCTGCCGTGGAATTTCTTGTATTTAATTTTGTTTTTATTTTTCAAATAGACGAATAATTGGCAAATCACCATAAACACATCTGATGTTAAGTACCCTTGTGACCAACAATGTTACGCGTATGTTCTGTCTACGTACTTGTTCACTGTTACCTTTTTTAATCTCTCAGAAAATTTACTTAGTTATTGTTATAGTTGTATCTTCGATCTTTTAAATAAATAAGCGAGAAATTGCTTTTTCTTGAACTTACAATCCATGTTCAACACTAATTCGCCTAGGAGCTTTTGCACACCATGCGTTGTATTGCATATAAATCAGAACGACATGCCACGCAGTGCGTTGAAACAGCGCGCGGTTTCGGGACGCGTGAACATCGGACAAGGGGGTTAGGAGACGTACCAGGGAGTGATACTGCGGTGCAAAAGAAGGCGGCATTACATTGCGACACTGCATCCCTCGTGTGGCATCGCTCTTGCCAATCTTCTGTATTGTAAATCTGTTCTGGTGCCTTGTCTTGCGTGTTCCGTATCTTTATATCACCGAACGGTGAAACTTACACAATATTTTTTGCGCCTACTTATTATTTTGGAACCATGAACGAATCAGCAAAGATAATGACGTCATCGTGTGTGCTTGTTGAACGGACTCATTAAACAAAATGGACGTGTTTGCTTCTCTGTCTTATATTTAATAGCTAAAGCTCTTGTCTTTATACGCCATTCAGTCTTTTGCTAGGCTTTCACTTTTACCTCCTTACATGATCTGGACGCCGCTTTTCTTTTGCGACAAAAGTAACTTATTCTCATTCGTTTTAGTCCGTACTTGTGCGCAGTTTTTCTTTCATGTTTTTGCTTGCTTACTTACGATTTCAGGCACGAAACGAAACGACGAGAAATTCGTAATCCAATTCAGAATCAAAATAAGAGTGTATTCTATTCCAAAGCAACAGTTCGCTTTAACTAAAACTGAGCAAAGCCGCCATGGTCACTCGAGCACGAAGCTTTTCGAGGATAGTTTATCTACAAACACTAAAATCCATTTTCTTTTAAACAATAAAAGGACTTGTTAAATCCTAACCACGATGTTTTTTTATGATAGTAACGACGAAGTGATGAAATGAACTAGTTTGTGCACTTGGTGGTAAGCGACAAGCCTGTCCATAGCAGTTGCAGTGCTATTCAAAACTTAAAATCACAAAGATCTGTGGGGCACTGCCACCGCGCCCGTCACCCTGAGATACACGATGACAAGTCCCATTTGCCAGTAATTTCAGTAGCACCCTTACCCTTCAAAACCGGAGCGCAGCAATAGGTAAGGTGGCAGTACTGCTCTGGACTAACTCTTTCACAAGGAGCTCTACTGCTACCAAAAATACATATAGTTCAACTTTGACGAATAACAATGACTTAAATCTCTCCTTACAAGAGACCAATGCCCAGCAGTGGGGTCTGGTATTTCTGAAACTTATGCACGCGCGGGCACAACAACTTAACTATAGTCTGTCTTTTTTGAAAACGGAGTGAAATGACTTTTGTAGGGTTGTTTTCATAAAATTTTAAATAGTTATGTAGTTGTTGTCGATAGTTTTATCGATAGGTTATGAAAGATGATACATTTTTGCCAAAAATGACTGAATTATGAATGTTACGACGTTCTAATGATTACTAATTGTGTTATTGCCTTCTTTTATTCTTATTTTGACAGTTGGTTTGCTAGTACCGAGAAAAATTTTTTTCATATACGTTTTAACATGAATAGCCGGAATTGATTATCTGTGTTGAGTTAAAATGAAAAACTTTAATATATGTATCCTCTTTGTATTTTTCATAACTTTTCTAAATACAGTGTATGTACCTATATGTATGAACTTACAAAATTGACAGTTCAAACGAACTCGTGCTCAGTAATTGGATGAATAGTGGGTCGAGGGTGATTAAAACGAAACAAGACCAACATTCAGTCGATAGTCGATAGAATATTTATCTACTGCAATCACTAGCTGGTCATTTTACTTCGTGTTAAAAAAAGACAGAATGACGAAGAAAGAAAGAAGGGACAGAATGATGTTTTATCGTAATCGATTGATATTCATGCGTCATACATTGTTTTTTACACGTGATATAGATTTTAAATGTATACGATATGTTTCCAGTGAACCTAATGTCATATTGTTTGTTTGTTTCAGTATTCCCGAATGTTCCCGCGGCGCCTGGCATGCCCTGCGCGGGCGAAGACCGTAAGTTCCTTTTTTTTTTACTTTTTAACTGACTTAAAAAAAGGAGGAGATGCTCAATTCGACTGTATTTATTTTTATGTGTGTTGGAAAGAGAGTACCTCAGTAGTGGTCCCAATAAAAATTGAAGAAAATATTCCACATCTAAGGGTGACAAATTAGGGGATGAATCTGGTTTATTGGATTTCACCCACTTTCCTCTAACCGATTTCAACTTTTAAAAGAAAATTGGCTATTGATTTTTATTTGAAAATTTTCATTCGTACTTAAAATATTTTTATTATACATTTCAATAAAACTTTGAGACCAAAAATAATAAAAAACGTAACTTTTTTACATTTTGTATGAAGTACGGGAGGGGGAATCTTCAAAGCGCACCTAACTTATCTCTCCTTGGGGAATATATTGTATACGGAAAGCCATATACGTGTTGATCTACTAAAAATATGATATCGATCGTTTACTTCGTATTTTGTTTGTTAATTGTCAAAAAATCGAGCAAAGCCGACGAATTGTATACTGTATGCAATTATCGTTTTAACCAATGAAAGGGTCGAAGTCTTACTTATATTAAAATTCAACATATTTTGAATATGACTGTGTAATAAGTAAAAAATGTACTAAATTATACGTATTAATACAAAGATTACGAACACTTACAAAAAAATCCTTCTATCCGGCTGGATTCGAACCAGCGTTCTCCTAGCGTGCTACCAACTCCTAGCAATACTACGTTCCATCAAAATAATAATACAATAACACCACTAATCTTGTCTGTCATATTAAACCTACAATCTTAACACAAACAAAATTAATTGTGATTACTTGGATTTGTTCCTGCACTAAAATACCTTTTATCTGTAGAGATAAAGATATTGCAGTCTAAAATTCCATCCGTGAAGTAGCGAGCAATACCTGCATGAAGATTGCGCGAATTAGCATTTGAATGTCTCGGATACCGGGCACTACGAGTCGTACTAGTATCGGTAAACTCGATAGTTTACCGATACTAGTCCGATATTATAGTATCGATACATGTCAATAAGTTGATGCATTCTTATTCAAGTATTAGTATTATTAGAAGTAGCCATTAGTTAGTTACGATTAATCAGTATTGTTATTTAAAAAATCCTGGTCCCGGTCTGGCAACAAACACTGATCGAAATATTTTTCTTCGTGTTGTTTGATCTTTACCTCAATAATAATAACAAACTAGTAGAGTATTATCACTTTTGAGTAGTAAAAAATATATATTTACCAATAAATATATGGTAGCAAAAAGATAATAATATTCAATAAAATAAATACAGAATTTTTATTATTTTTAGTATTATTTATTTTATGGTACACTATAATATTAGAACAGTCCTGTAAAAATAACAGTATGTACGAAATAGATTAATTAATACTATAATGTATATAGTCCATTGACTTACAAATATAGTCTTTTGAATTACACAATATTTACCAGCATTATAAATTAATAACAAAATTGGAATTATAATAGTATAATTCCTATATCGGTTGCGAAGTTCTCGTCTGGGGTCAGCACAAGAGAATATAAGTTTCTTAATTATAAGACACAGAAAACGTCACAATTATATTTAAGATTTAAATTAACACAAAACCACTTAAGACGTTCCAAGACATTAAGCCCAGAATCACTTCGCAGTACCTATTGGAGGACAACTTTTTGTTTCTCTTTTATCACCCTCTAATTTTAAAAACAACAATATAATTTTACTTGGGAGCGTATTTTTCTTATAAGTGCAACAAACGTTTTAAGAGAACAATATGTTTGTATAAATAGGTGTTCAATTTGTATATTGTAATATTTCTCTCAATAATATATAATAAAAGGCTGACAAAATTGTACAAAATTATCCATATTTTTATTCAGTTATCAAATCGATTATAAAATTTTGTAACGTTATAATATATTATCGATAGGTAATCGTCTCAATAAACTCCGACATCCCTACGCACTGCTCAATTTGACTTTGCACGCGTTTGCCAGAATTCATCCCGGTTTTGCCTGCTTTCACCCGCTTTTGCTTACCCGTCGTATTGTCAGGGTAATAAACAGGCTAGCTATTGTAATGTTGTGAGTTTTATTCGGTCGCTGACTATTTTGCTCGTTCTAGTCTTTGAATCGAACCTTTGTTGTGGTAATGCTATTCTAAATGTTTTCGCTTTTCTGATTTTCTTCACAGTACGTTAATTTGACGTAGAAGCGTTAAAGTCTTCGACATTTCTGCTTTACCTAGCATACATAATTACGTAAAGAAACATTCGTGCCTCAAATATGAATGTACACTGGCAATAATTTTGTACAAAAACATAAAAATATTTATATTTTTGTATGAAAGTAAAATGTAGAGATGAAATGGATATCCGGTAACTATCCGGTATTCAGCCTATCCGGCCTATTTTTACTATCCGGCCGGATACCGGATAGTAGAACGATATCCGTTCGGATACCGGATGTTTCAAATGGAGAAAAAATCATAATCAGTACGCCAAAAAATGAATTTATTGATTAAAGATGATAATAATACGATAAACAGCAACTACAGGATTGTTGATCCTGTTTTTTATTTGAATTTTGATTGAATCTGTTTATTAGTTGAAACTGAAAGAACTATGAAGTTAGATAAGGTTATCTGTAAATTTAGTAATCTCAATAAAGGTGAATTATGGTGAATGAATACCGTTGTTCGGCATTAAGTGCTAAATGTTGGTTCTACGTGAGGCGCACTATAAGTTTCCGGAATGAATAAGAAAAAAGAAATTAATTTATTATTTGTCAAAATATTCTCCGTTAGCGTAAATGCACTTTTTCATACGAATGAGCTCATTTCGAAAACATTTATGGCACTCCTCCGTGACAATCTCGGAAACATATTTTTCATACTCTTCGACAGCCTCTTCCAGGTGATGAAAATCGTTGACCGCGTAACTGGTTCTTAATTTTTGGAAATAAATAAAAGTCACAAGGTGCCAGGTCGGGACTGTACGCGGGGTGGCTCATTGGGTCAACGTTGTTCACCTTCAAAAATCCATTTGTCTCTCTAGCCGTGTGAGAACTTCCATTATCGTGGTGCAAGATGATACGGCGTTTACGGTTATTTTTACGGAGTTTGTCAATAACTTCCTGCAAACAAATGGTCGTGTACCAATCACTACTCACGGTACAACGATTCTCCAAAGCAACAGTAGCCACGTGTACAGCTTTATTAAAAAAAGAAGCAATCATCCGCTTAGAGGCATTTTACACGCGCGCCACTTTGGTTGGTTTCGGCTCATCCCATTCGGCTCATCGAAAGACCCATACGCTCGATTGCTGCTTTGTTTTGGGATCGTAACTATATATATCCATATTTCGTCACCTGTTACTATGTCCCACGCCAAGTTTGACGCCCCTTCATTGAATCTGGTATGCATGGCATTGCACCAAGTGACACGATCCGTTTTTCGAGTCTCAGTCAAATTGTGTGGGATCCACTGAGAGCACAGCTTTTTCACACTCAAATGTTTGTGTAGTATTGATTGTATTTGATGCCTATTGCCATGCTTATGCCTAAAGATGCCCGAATCTCACGGTATGTCACATGCCTGTCTGTTTTAATCATATGGCGCACAGCATCATGTTTTTGTTGTTTACAGCAGTGGACGGGCGACCGTCACGAAATTTGTCACTGAGATTCGCACGACCGCGTTTGAATTCTGCAAATCAGCTATAAATAGTTGTCTTGCATGGTGCTTCATCGCCAAAAGCAGTTCGAAGCCGAGCGAACCTCCGCTGAGCTGTTAAATTACGCTTAAAGTCGTAGAAAATCATACTACGAAAATTTTCACGAGTTAAATCCATGGTGATGTAGACAACCAATTTCTAAAATACCACCACAATGTAAAAACAAGTGACAGTCAGTTGAAACAAACTGTATTCTACAGCCAAAGAGTTCCATTTTCGAATTTTGTAATTACTTTTTAAATATTGTGTATGTAAATGGCCAGTTCCGGAAACTTATAGTGCGCCCTACGTATTCTACGATATACGATCCTTGCGTTCACGATCGATTTGATCTGTCTTCAAATACAATGTGTACCTACAATAATGAAACGTGTAAGTAGATTAAAAAATTATTTATGGCAAATCTGGCATCAAGATTTAGAATTAGTTAGATCACAACCAAATTAATGATATACAATTGAAACAAAATAATAACGGGTGTATCAAGTACTAGGCTTATACTTGTAACAACTAGAAATTTTAATATAGCCAAAGAATGATGTAATTGCTTTTTTCCTTCTCCACCGCGACAAATTTGCATTCGGCACAACAAACAAACAGCACTGATAATAAAATATTGCCGAATTTGCGATTTTTTACTGTCAACATTGTTGTATTATGTATTTGTTTATATTATCAAATAAATTAATCGTTTTTATAAAAACCAAGTGACCACAACAAATCAAATCGTGTGAAAGTGCAATCATTCACTAATCAATCAATCATGGGGATGCGCGCTGTAAACCGGTTGCGACCGGATATCCGGCTATCCGGCCAAGGTGTCCGCCGGATATCCGATCTCCGTCCAAATCACTATCCCTTTCATCTCTAGTAAAATGTGATGAATTATTAAAAATCATGGACCAAAATTTGTCGTTTATGATGTTGGTAACATAGATCTGCGAGGTTGTTAGTATTTTACAAATAACCCAGTATAATAACAAGAAAGATTTGTATGGCAAATTTAAGTTCGTTTTTAGCACAATTTGCCATACGAAATTATCAAATAATTAACGCAGTCGTTAGCAACTATCTCCACTGTAAATAAACAAAAAACAATATATCATTTTATCTAAACAACTTTATACATTTTGTACACCGTAATTCTGGTATAGACTATTCCGGTATTGACTAATGATTCCAGGAAACTCATGAAATATATTGGCTAGATTTGAATGTATGAGTAAGTTTATCTTCAAATCGAAAAGTCCGCATGATTTCATATCACAAGTACTTATGCGTGCCCTTCCCAAGAAAGATACCGTATAGATAAAAATTGCTACAAAAAAAATCTCGCATTCTATTGAATCATACACACTGATATCTTTGAAGAAGCAATTCTGAAACCAATAACAATACTATTATCTAAAATAAAATGATCGATGGCATTTGATTTTGCCATTGCAAAGAATATGTCAAACTTTTTGAAAGATTTATTTTCAGAATAATCATTACCCGACCTTTATGTTGCCACTTTAAGTTATCTGGTCTTAAATTCGGGAAATCGTTGTACCGAAATACCGGAAAACCGAAATTAATTCCAGGTTCACTATCCAGCGAACTTGGAAATTCGTTTATACTTCTTTAGTGGCAAAATATGCCATCATAATTAGTTACAATATGAGCTTCCAATCCCTAAACTATGAGCAAAATGCTCGGCATTCGAATTTTTCTCCTTTCAAACAATTTCTTTAAATAAATAAATAATGTTATACCTGGTTTTTTTATGTATTAAACTTAACCTTTATCAACTTTTGTTAGAAACTGATTCGAATTCGTATAATTGTTGATCAATCCATGATAAGATAGTAATGTAACGTATATTTTATCGTTTATTTCTGTGAACAGTTCCCTTTTAGTAACGAACTAGAGTACACGTAATTTTTTTTTTATATTGTTTAAATGATTACTGTTGTGTTGGTTAAGTTAATCATGTAGTGCAAATGTCTTGTTTCATAGGAAGTCGAAAATCATCTGACAGTTCTATAGAAGGTTTAAATTTATGAAGCAAATCAATTTGAATTTGCCAATATTAGTGAATGTTTACTATCGATTCAGTGAAGGAGAACATCGTGATGAGACCAGAATTTCGAGCAAAGTTCACAAGCTTTGGAAAACATATGAAGTCAATAGACAAGAAGCCTGAACTCTCTCCATAGAGGAAAGGAACATTTTTCTTTATTCATAAGGTTTATTCTTCTTAGCGTATCGCTGGCATGATGCTTGCCATCATATTCACCGATAGTTATCCAGGATGCGCAAAACATAAAGGAAAGGAATGACAAAAGTAATTTCCTTTAACAGAAATGCTTTGTTCAATATCTTTGCATATGTATGAACAGCGCACTATTATCATGACTACTATTAGGGCCTGGTGGGCGTCATTACCAGGCGCCAATTAGCGAGAACATTTCAAAGTCACGGTCTTGCTGACAACGCCTAGTTAAAGGAATTCATGCTCTATTGTTTTGACTTAGAGAAAATATTGTTTTTGTTTTCAGGAAGCATATATAGGAGGGGAGCGCGGCGGTGGCGAAAATTATACCGCGTTAATGGACACATCTTCCAGGCAAAGCGATTTAATAGAGTAAGTAATACTTATTTCACTTGAAACTGATAATATCACAAAAATGAAGGAAATCAAAATTGCATGAAAACCTTCGAAGCCTTGAAAACGGTTGAATTAATGAGATATTTGTTACGGCAAAATATCCAACTTCGATTGCAATTTGAAAATTTAAATTCACTATTATTCTCTAAGTTCACTATTGGTTCAAGAGCGTAACATAATAATAATAATAATGTGCTAGACAGCCACACCAATACCTGGTCTCCAAACTAGATATATGAGATATATACTATGGATCTCAGATTGACGCAATGCACTCCTACACGAAACACTCAGATCAGAACCAATTTAGAAAAGTTCATTTCCCAAATTGGTCCTACCTGAAATCGAACCCGGCACCTCCGCATTCAGCGCCCATAGTGCAAACCTTTGGGTCACCGTGGTCGTCGAGGTCAGATGAACGAGGACAAATATGTTGAGAGTGTTTTCTGTGCAAAATTATAATCTCTTTGGTCATCTTCAATATTTTTACGGTCGTTAGAATAATTATTATATTATTTATATTTACCGTTAGCAAAATTATTATTATCACACTTGAATTTTTTTTCGTTTTTTTGGCTTTTCTCGTTGGAGCCAATGACAAGATATTATATAACTTTATTTAAAAACAAGGAAATCATTTCGTATGTTAAGAAATTTGAAGAATTAAACAAATCGTTAATATTTTGTTACTGTGTTGTAATTTGTTCACATTACAACATTCACAGCAACTATATGTAGTCAATATAAATCTTTAATGATTTTATTTAAACATTCCAGCGCGCCTTCTGTGCCTTTTGCCAAGACCGCATCTGGGGCCTGGGCCGGCAAGGCTTCAAGTGCATCCAGTGCAAGCTGCTGGTCCACAAGAAGTGCCACAAACTGGTCCAGAAACCGTGCTCCAACGAGCATGTCGACCCCATTGACCCAGTCAAGGATGACGCAAATGGAGAGAGCACATTGGGTCGCGCTTCCTCTGTCAGGTGAGAAACGTTTTTGAAACATTATATAAACGAATTGCACTCCCAGAGTCTGTTACAAATACCCTGTTCTTTTAAATATATATAGTCTGCCCTGCCCATGGGATCTGTAAAGGGCCCGGAACCCTGGTTTCTTTAAAGAAACAATAATTAGATTCGAAAACAATAGTTCTTTGATTTCCAATGTGAAGCAATAGCGATAGCCTAAAAACAAGGGGCCAGGAGACGAAGCGGAGAGTGGTGCTGCGATACGTTGCGTTGAAATCATAGCATTACGACGACGCAACCCACTGGCAGCGCCCGTGGGGCATCGCTCTTACGGATTACAGTTACATGGTTTTAAAAGGATTCTACAACACCAATTAGATCGTACATGTTATTGTGATTGTCAGGTCTCGAGCGGAGCCAGAGCTGCCGTTGCCCGAAACGCCACCAGCGCCGCCGGCGGTGGTGCGCGAGGACCTCGAGCCTGGTTCGCAGCGCCAGTATTCGCTGGACGACTTCGAGCTCATCAGGGTCATTGGACGAGGCTCTTATGCCAAGGTAAGATGGATCAAAATACTGATCGTGGTCTCATGGTGTTTCCACATTTGAACTTATGAGTACTGCACAGATCGCATACAGGTATAAACCATAAAGTATATAACCAGAAATAGAGACGAAATGTCATTTTAATTAGTTTGACCACTGTTCTGCCAAATCATTACGGTGACAAATGACGGGTGTCGTTCATTGTTTCACTTCAAATCGTCCAGTTTAACTTGAGCTTTGCTATAATGGGCGAAAATTCCAAAATTACATATTTAATATTTAATTACCGTTAAAATGTAATTCCATTTGTTTTATAATTAGATGTTGTGGTTTTGACACCACCGAAAGGAACAGCCCCCGTTATTAGAGATATTATCTTTATTACAATGAATACAGATATTTTTTTAAATATACGGAGACGTACACACAGGACTGTTGTTGGCGCTGTACTGATTTCAGCACAAACGATAGTGGATATTTGAAAGTGATATAAGGCCCATTTGCCTGATGGGTTGCCAGAGACGAATGACCCTTATTTCCTCTCTCTTTCTGGTTATATATACTCGATGGTATGATCGGAGAAAAATGACATGTGTAGGGTCGCCAGTTTTCATAATATTTGAATAGTCATGTAGTTGTTATCGACCAGTTTTGTCGATAAATTGTGAAAAAAGGTAAAATTACGCCAAAAATGTCTAAATTGTTAATGTTATGACGTTCTAATCGATTACTAATCACTAATGCCTTTGTCATTCTTATTTTGACAGCTGGTTTACTAGTATCAAAATCAAATTTTATTTATATACATTTTAACAAGTACAACGCGTACTTTAAAATATGTATTCTCCTAGGAAATAAAACAATTTTCCGGATTTAAATCGCGTATACTTGTTTTTTACATTATCGAGTGTGAACGAAAGAAAGAAAGGAAGTATCTTATAGTCTAGATTACAATAAGGCAGAATTAGGTGTATGTAACATTTTATATACATTGTTATATAAATTAGTTGATGTCAAAATTAAGCGAAGACATTAATAGACGATTTTTAATTAAAAGAAACCCCTCCTTAATTTAAAAAAAATACTTTATCATATAAATAAGAAGTAGAATGAAAAGTTGTATATATGTACCTTACAGGTGCTGATGGTAGAACTGAAGCGAACGAAACGCGTCTATGCCATGAAGGTAATCAAAAAGGCGCTCGTAACCGATGACGAGGATATCGACTGGGTGCAGACGGAGAAGCATGTCTTCGAGACGGCGTCTAACCATCCCTTCCTCGTGGGGCTGCACTCCTGTTTCCAGACGCCAAGCCGCTTGTTCTTCGTTATCGAGTTTGTCAGGGGTGGAGATCTCATGTGAGTTGAGCTACAATGAGGTTTTTGTGTTTAACGTCTCGGCCACGAAAATATCGCCATGGTTGAAGCGTCAATTCGCCGAAGCGTCAAAATACACTCACAAAATTTGGTAATTCGGTGATAGATAGGTCGTCCGTAGTGGGAGGAACTCAAGTAGAATTATTTTTACTAATGTTATATTGTTTAATATTTTTGGTGGAATATACTTAAATATGCATTAATAATAAATTATTAGTATTTGTAGCAAATTAATAACTATTTGCTATCAGTAGTAAATAAACTACAAACAAAAACAAAATAATTTGTTACAAACGCTGACGCGCGGAGTGACAGTTTCGGGCACACTACGGAACTTTCTCGTATAATTGTCCTGGTCGCCGGCAAAAAACTCGCGTAACCCTCGTGCAAGTTCGTAGCGAATATTTTATAAATAAAGTCATATTTTTTTATAATTGACGCCCGAAGCTGACGCTTGTAGTAATAAGCGAATTTTCTAGGAGCGTCGCGTCTCGTGGCTCTCACGTTAGGGTATTTACTGTAGCGATTTTGCTCGTAGAATACCTTTAAATAAAAAAAGAACAAAAAATCATGGGATAGAAGGGAAAAAGAAAAAAATTCATATTATTTAGACATCATATGTTCATGTTAGTAATACACAAAACAGTTATTTGTAAACATTAATTGACGTACCACATCAGCACAACAATAAAATATGCAAACATAGGCTCCACCAATTTGTTACTAAACATTTTAGGCTACGTACTGTTAGAGTTGCTCCTAGTCCTCTGCAGTAAGGATGATGTCTTTTTTCTAATCATTGCATAAAAATCGTTTGCATACATACCTGATGCACTGCTAAACGGGGAAAGCCTAACAGCACCCTGAATTCCTTATTATATTGAATACGGAGAGTATTCAGCGATTTTTTAGTGTAATTCCGCTACACGCTCTCCAAAGAGCACTCGTGTAGAATGATTAACAATAGGATTTAAAAAGTGTTAATTTAGCTTATAAAAAAAAAGGGAAGATATTGTTTTATGGAGGCGTAAATATCTGAGGCAAATAAAAGAATACAGAGAGGCTAATTATACCATTTACTATCTTGACGAAACGTGGGTAAACGCTGGACATGTGAAGACAAAAGCGTGGTTGGATACAACGGTAAAAAAATCCATTAAACTTAATTACATTTATTTTTAAAACTTCTTGAAATTTCACTCCACTGTGAATACACCCTTCTTACCCGGCAGTTGCACTGATGAGTCACTATTTTCTTAACGCGAATGCACTATAATTACTACAACCAACAAACCTGTAGACCAGCGTGTTACATACACCGTACCGCTAATGCTCTCTCTAATATCTGTGTCAACCTTGAAAGCGTCAGCAATAAAATGACCGAAATATTTAACAAGTACTCTCTTAAGAGTTGACTGGTTGACTCAATAATCAGTTCATACGATTCACTTCTATGTGCATTGTACAAAAAACCAGAACTGAATAATTTTCAAGTTTCTTTCATCCATCTAGTTTTGGTGGCAATTATTGTTATTTAAAGATTTTAGTAATTATCATGAAGTATTATTTAATATTCGAGTGTTGTTTAAGAGTCTATACCGTCTCAAATGGCCTTGGTTGATTCCGCATATAGTAAAAGTGTTCAATCCAATCCCTTTCGAAAAAATATATAGTAAAATTATGAGGATATATACACTGATTACTGTACGGTGTGAGAACACGATTTCTAAAAATTTTCACGATGGAAAAAAACACAACCTTGCCTCGAAATTTTACAAGAAAACTACTGTATTCAATACAATAGGTACTTTACATAAACGAATGATTTTTTTTATATCAACCAAACTAAATAGAACACGTATAGTGTAACGGTCATTGACTTGCAAATAAATGGACGACGGGTCTAATACAAAAACCACGAAAAAAATGTCCGAAGTCAACCTATTTAAACGTAGTGACGTGTAAAGGAATATGAAAAAGCTAAAACGTTGAATTTAAATTGTAATGTCATCGCAGTACTGTCTAATTTTGCTTGCTTCGCTGTCAGTCGAACAAACGAAGACTAAAGCGTGAATGACGCTCTGTATACGATTTTAACGCCCTATAAGTTCGGGCACTTTTTAGCGCGGACCCGACGTCCATATAATTGTAAGTCAATGGTAACGGTAGACATTTTTCACATGGCTTTAATTACGTTTGTGAAAAAATAAATTCTGATATAAAGCCAGTGTCCCTGCCACTCGACCCAAGCAAAATGAACCGTATTAGTACGGGAAAAATTTGAATTCAGGCTGAAGTAGTTATATACTAATATAATACTCTTAAGATAATAAGTAACCTCCCCCACTGCTCAGGTTTCACATGCAACGCCAACGGCGACTGCCCGAAGAGCACGCGCGGTTTTACGCGGCGGAAATATCGCTTGCTTTGCACTTCCTGCACGAACGTGGAGTCATCTACCGCGACCTCAAGCTGGACAACGTGTTGCTGGACCACGAGGGCCATATCAAGCTAACGGATTATGGCATGTGCAAGGTAAGTTGGACCAAAGAAAGAAATGGACTAAGGTTACCATTAATTCATTCTAACAACCTCGGCGACCTTAGGTTTACTTTGTGATCCCGGGTTCGATTCTCGGTTGGAGCAATTTGGGTAATGAAGTTTTCTAAATTGGTTCTGGTCTGGGGTTTCTGGTACTCATAGTGCAGGGGATTTCTTAGTTTGAGACCGGATTATTGGTGTGATTGGCACATGTATTATTATTGAAATATAAATTATTCAGTGGTTGTCATTCATTCATTCATATCATACAATTTACCCAAAAACCCCAACAAGGGAGCACCTGGTGGTAAGCGACACGCCTGTCCATAACAGTTTCAGAGTCACTTAAAAAAATATTAAAAAACATTTATTTGACAACAGAATTGTGCAGGTAGATACATAATAAAAAGAAATTAAATAGGTACACTACACAACACTATAGACACAACTTGTTCCAGCGTATATCGCGTACAGAGAATTGGTCTTGATTCATGCACTAGGCTCTGTATCACAGGTAATCAATGTTTCCTCGTTACAAGTTAGAAGTTAACAATCAGTGCAATAGGAACAGATTACCAAAGAAGTTTTACCAATAAATTATTAGAATTAATATGAACAAACCAAAAATAAGGAAGGTAATAAAAAGACTTAATTAATCTTATTATGCATTATAATGGAAAGGATTGCCGAATATTATATCTTTACGAAGCTGATCATGTTGAAGCTTTAAATCACAAAGATTTTGGTGAAACCGCTACTGCACCCGTCACCCTGAGACATACGTTGACAAGGCCCATGCGCCTATAATTTCCCTTACCCTTCAAAACCGGATCGCAATAATGCTCACATTATTGTTTGGCGGCAGAAATAGATAAATAAAAGGTACTTCCCTGGGCGAACTCTTTTACATGGATCTCTACTGCTACTAAATTCAATAGAAAATTCTATTCAAATTACCCACCCGCATTTCATTCGCATAGAAATAAAATGTAAATAGTCAAAATACATGTCATAATTCTTAAAGTAGTTTTCTCTTAAAACTTTGATTGAATACGTGTTTATTATTTTTGAATATGGAAAAATGTTCAGTTCATTGAATATCACGACGTTCTTACTACCACGATAATAATTTTTTTTTTTTTTTTTATGTGAAATTACTCGAATAATTTGTTATAACCGGAAATAGAGACGAAATAAGGATTCATCAGTGATACATCACATATAAATATCAACTCTAGTTCGCACTGAAATATAGACAACGCTAACAACTGACCTGTGTGTACGTCTTCGTATATTCCAAAAATATTTTGTATTTATTGTAATAAAGATAATATCTCTAACAATGGCGTGCTGTTCCATTCGGTGGTGTAAGGAAAAACAGCAAAACATCTATCTACAAAACAAACGGAATCAAATTTCATCGGTAATTAAATATGTTATTTTGCAATATTCGTCCATTATAGCAAAGCTCAAGTTAACTGGTCGATTTGACGACACCCGTCAATTGTTTCGAATTCGGACTGGCCAATCGGAGCGCAGTTGTCGCCATAATAATGATATGGCAGAATAGTTTCAAACAAATTAAATGACATCTCGTCTCTATTTCTGGTTAAATACTCGATGGTTATAATTATTAATACAAAGATCGAACTCCTACAACACACGGTGCCTGACGCTCTCCCTACTGAGCTACGGACCTAACCAACACACCTTACGAATTTTTCTATGTCCTTATTGCAGATCTTCATTTTTGGTTTTTAAAGCCTCTTTGGCCGTAGCACCATCTACGAGAAATCTATGAAAGTTTTTCTTCGCTTAGTCGGGCGCCTTTATAGTCCATTTGTTTAGGTATTTAACTAAATGTATACAATCTTGATATATCTACTTAATGAAATAAACATTTATAAAATGATTTTCACTTACCTTCAAATACAAAATACAAATACTTAGCTTCATATGAAATTCCATGCCTATTTTCATACTTATTGATTTATAAAGTATATGTTCTGTAAAAAGTAATGTATATTCTATAAAAAGATGTATCAAGATTGTTTATATTTAGTTAAGTATCTAAACAAATCTAGACTATAGATAATATGGAAAAATAGTTTCATTTCCAATATGTAATTTCCAATATGTTGAATGTGTGCGTTATAAAAAAAAAAAATCGCGATAAGAACTTGATTTTTTAATCATTTTATCAGCTCGTCTACATCTTCTCGTCATCGATCACGCGACTACAGTTGAAGTACCCAACACGTACGTACGGGACTAACGTAGTAGTTATCCGTGGTCCTCGGTCAATTTAATTTATTCCTTTTTACTAATTTTTTTTTCCTAATTTTCAGGAGGGAGTCCGTCCTGGCGACACGACATCAACTTTCTGCGGCACTCCGAACTACATTGCTCCCGAGATCCTCCGCGGAGAGGAGTACGGCTTCAGCGTGGACTGGTGGGCTCTTGGAGTGCTGACGTACGAGATGCTGGCTGGACGATCACCGTTCGATATTGCACAGGCCGCTGATAATCCTGACCAGAACACTGAGGACTATCTCTTCCAGGTTAGTTATTACCACAGAGAGATCTAAGTAAACCGGCATCAAGCACCGTAATAAGCTTTCAAAGCGTTTTAGACCAGTAATATCTGATAACCATTTTATTTTTGAGGACGGCGTTATATTTCACCTTACAAATTATTTTTTATTGAACATTGGCTCTTAATTATATAAGCCGTGTTTTAAAGATTAGAAAAAGAATTATGAAATTCAATATGTTATGTAGGTCACTAAACGAAAATACTTTACGCACCTAACAACAATGGTTATAAGATATTTGATAAGTTTTCTACATATTTTATGGTATCTGTTGCTGAAAAAAATGTTAAAATTTATTGTGGCGATAGGTTTGTACCTATTGTTTCGTTCAAAAATATCATTTTTCTTCTGAAGAATTGTAGACTAAAGCTGGAGATGTCAATGTCACCGTTATATTTATTGTAAAAAAAGTGTGAAAGCATGGCTGCGACGATATCAGGTAGTTCGTCGCGGATATCCCGTCAGCATACTTCCGTAATTTCGTTCATGACATTAAACAAGACACGGCAAAATTGTCCCATTGTCTGGGGTATGTAAAATTGCTATAAAAAAGTTTAATTTAGATAAAAAATGTTTTAATTTACATATTTCATGGCTAGATTATATACTTACTATAACTAGAGTAGAGACGATTTTTTTTTATTTTATTTATGATAACTTGTTACATTATTAATTCATAATCTTAAACTTAACAGTATTTTATAAACTAAAGTAAGTTTTTCTAAATACCGACGATTAATCGCTAAGCGGTTTTAACAATAACAAAAAGAAAAATGATGAATGTATGTTGTGTTTGTGTGAGTGAATGGTATGATGTCACGTGCGATCATGATATACTAATCCTATGCGTGCGACCTGCGTAATGATAGTGTCGTTGCAATGTGACTTGTGTAATGTCTTAGTGTGCGTTAGTTGTCAGGTAAGTTTGTGGAATCGAAAGATGTGTGATATAGCGTGTTTTATTTTAAGTTTGGACTTTCTGTAGTGTCATTGAATTTTTTTTTTTCTTATTTAAGAAGTGTTCCTTTAATTTGTACTTAATGTTTCTTTCATTAATTTCCTCCTTTAGTTGTTTAGGCAACTCATTAATTAGGGAAGGTACTTTGACATTCAGCTTATTTTTGCCGTAGAGATTGGTATAAGACGGCACTACAAGTCTACCCTCGCGCTGTCGACGGGTTCTTATGACTCCGCTATAGATTACCTGCCAATCCTTAACAAAGTACTGTTCAGCAAGTATACAATATTTGACATTTTCATGAACTGGTAATACTTTGCAAAAGTTGAATAAACCATCGTTGTTATTTATAAATTGATATTTAACTTTATCAGGAACAATAGTTTTCAATAACCGTATCTGTAGCTCATAGATCCTGTCCAGATGCGTCTTTGAAGTTAAACCGTAACTGCTTAAACCGTATCCAATGATCGATTCCCCAAGTGCTTTATATAGATTGAGCAGGGTCAAGAAAGGCATCTTATATTTGATTATAGAGAATTTGGACAACAAGGCTTTAAGTCTGTCACACACCTTGTTTATATGATCCGTCCATTTCATTCGGTCGTCAATTATAAGTCCTAAATAGGTGTGACTACTAACTAGCTCAATATCTGGACAGTCGCAAATGCTTGAGCTATTTCCCCTGTGCAAGCAATCATGTTTATGCCCAATGAGTTTTAATTCTTGGTTTTTCCTATTTTGGCTCGAGCTTACATAAATCAGTTTGGTCTTATCAGCATTTAGTACTAAGCCTGCATCGTGGGACCATTTGACCAGATTAGTGAAATCTGTTTGCATTTTATGAAGGGCGCCTTTCAGATCATGATGAGCCACTACTAGGCAAGTATCGTCAGCAAATTGGAAAATTTGGCTATGTTGTATTATATGTGGTAAATTATTTACGTAGGACAGGTAGTGTAGGGGGCCCAGTACGGAGCCCTGGGCTGTTCCTTCACTTACTGTTTTCCTGTCACTCATCGCGTCAGCTACTTTTACATAAATAGCACGATTACTTAAATAGTCTTCACACCAGCCTAACAAAGGTCCTCTCACACCGCAGTCCTCAAGTCTCTCTAGCAACACATCATGACGAAGTGTATCAAATGCCTTACTGTAGTCTATGAACACTACGAGCACTTGCATTTTATCATTAAGGTAACCATATAAGAGATTGGTAAAAGCAGTTAGGAGCTGAGTTGTGTTTTTGCGTGGTTGAAACCCGTACTGATTTTTGTTAAGTACATTATTATCCGTATAAAATTTATGAATTTGGTGACATACATATTTTTCCACAATTTTATCGATGGTGGGGAGAATAGTGATAGGTCTGTAGTTATCATAGTCTGTTTTCCTACCCTTTTTAAAAATAGGTCTAACAATACCAGTTTTAAGCCCTAATGGATAAGTTCTCTTCTCTATACTAGTATTAATTAGTTTAGCAATTGTTGATGCAATATTGTGGCTAATTTTTTTAATATCAATTGCTCGTATCAAATCTAGATCAGGCGCTTTATTAGTATTTATACTCTTAATAATTTTGAGAATGCTTGATGAATTAGCTTTGTGGAAATGCATAGATCTGTCAACCGGCTTTCTGTGTTCGTTTTTGTCTACAAGGGATATTCAATCACAATTTGTTTGAAAAAAGTGCCTACCTACCAAATTAGTCAATTGTTGTTATGTGAAATGATAATTTAAAAAACTATTTCATTGATAATTGAAATATATAAATATATAAATTAATAGACTAGCCATTTGACACTTTTTGAAACTTGTTGAAACTGTCCCGTGTGCAGCGCAGCATAAATGTTACGTAAACAAAAACTGTCACTCCCCCCACACCGCGCGGGTACCTCGGGAACGCTCACGCTCACAATCAACATAGCCCCGCACTAGGGAAACCCTTTGTCGCGGGTGCCATGGACACACACATAGACAACCACAAATTACACCCAAACTCACGAGAGAAATAAATGTAGGCCATACAAATATTTCTCTCGGCCCGGGAATCGAACCTGGGACCTCTGCGTGGCATGGTAACCGTTCGGCCACAGAGGCAGTTAGTTAGGAACCAACTCAGTGAAGCGGTGGTGGGCCTGTAGTAAGTGAGTCAATTCACTAGTTTTTATTATAAAATAAGTGTGTCGTTAAACCCGATGCTGGCAAAATTATTCCCCATTTACCTTGGGTAGCTAAAGTCGCCAAAAAAAAAAGTATGACTACGAAAAACCTCTTCATATAACATATATACATTGTGCATTGTAGGTGATCCTGGAGAAAACGATCCGTATACCGCGATCGCTGTCAGTGAAGGCAGCGTCGGTGCTAAAGGGATTCCTCAACAAGAACCCCGTGGAGCGGCTCGGCTGCGGCGAGAACGGTTTTCTTGACATCGTTAATCATCCATTCTTTAAGAGCATCGAATGGGAAATGGTGAGAACTAGATTATTAGTAAATTTATAATTTTTGTCTAATCTATAAGATATGTAATAAAATGAGATAAAGTATCAATCAATCAATTCTACGCTCTGATTAATATTCGAAAAAAGACGATCGGCTGATTTCGGCTTTGTAAAGCGACGTCTCTCTCATATAAGGCGTAATTCCCCAATACCTAGCAAGACATTTAACCTGCGAATGTATAAATATAACATTTCCTTTTATAATCCCCTGATGAGAATATTTTTTTTAATAAAAATATAAGTGCACATTTGACCTCCATCTCGCCTGATGGAAAGTGATGATCAGGTCGACGATGGAGCACACCTAAATAATGCCTATTCACTCATGCCTTGAAAAGGCCCAAGTTATAACGTTCAGGGAACAAGTCGGCAGCTAGGGAATTCCACTCCATAGCCGTTCGACATATAAATGTGGAAGCGTAACGCTTCGTGCGAATCTTTGAAATATCCACAACATAGGGGTGGAACCCAAGCCTACGCCTAGTCGCCCATGATGGCAAGGGGACGGCGGAATTAAACGTGTAATTCTATCGCACACTCTCCGTGATTATATCCTGTAAAATACCGATAAGCAGGTAACTGTATGGCGGTGTGCAAGGCTCTGCAGCTTCGCCTCCACTAATTCCGAGTCGCCTATAAGCCTCTTGGCACCATTGTCTTGGATCAATGTGTCTGGCTTTACAACGAGATACTATGAAAAACTATTTGGATTTTTTTCCAGAATATTTAAAGGAGTCGTAACTCGCTTAACAAGTACATGGGTATTCACCCAAACCCATTTCGTTTTTGTATTTAGTAAAAATTAGTCGGTATATTAATTAAGGAAATTATTACCAAAATGTCAACAGTCGATCTTTCTTGTTACTTTACAATGATGTGTCAACATAAGTGGAGTTAAAATCGAATACAGAACTATTATTATATTTAACTCTTATCACTGTAATTCGGTTGTTATCTGTTTTATTGTCCATTTGATAAATAAATATACCTGTGTGAAATAATACATAAAAAACTTAAAAGTTTATTTTTAGATAATTTATTATGTTTTGTAAAAAGTCATGGAACAAAAGTTGTTGTTTGTGATGTAAATAATGTGGTTCTGCGAGGTTGTTATTATTTTACAAATTTACAATTACAATTTTAACAAACCCTTTATTATAAAACATATTGTATAATTAACTAGTATAAATATTAATTAACTAGTATATTATGGATATTGTATAATTACAGCTAAAACGCTGAAGGATATAAAACACATATTAATATTATAAAGCGAGGGACTTGTGTATGTATCTATCGGTGTTAACTCCACATATTTGTGCTGTATCTCAGTTGGAGCAAAAGCAAGTGGTGCCGCCATTCAAGCCTCGTTTAGAAGGTGAACGCGACCTCGCCAACTTCCCGCCAGAGTTCACCGACGAACCCGTGCATCTCACGCCCGACAACGAGTATGTATACGTTTTACATATTTATGCATTTATTTATTAAAGAAAATCAACAGTCAATCACAATTAAAATATACATACTAAGTCTATGCTAAGGCCAGATACAGATTTTTTAGAATATATTTTCAAATTAACTCGCGTTGAACGGAACATTTATGAAACGTCTTCATCAAACAATAGTTTTAATAGACAGACAAAAAAAGAAATGGCTTAGGTTTAGTAAGTAATAGTTGACGTCGAATTGGACATTCAAATTATTTTTGGAGATATACCTAGTCAAAAGGAAAAATGTCATGTGACGAGAACAGTGTTAGGTATGAATGTGGAGGTGTGACTAAAAGGTGAAAGAAAAGCCCATGAAAAGATGTATTGTGTGAAAGATGATATGGATAAAAGAGGTGTGAGTATGAAAATGTCGGCTAATAGAGTCTAATGGAGAAAAATGCATATTGTGCCGACCCCACCTAACGTGGGATAAGGACAGGAAAAAGTAAAGGCCTGGTCAAAAGGACTAAAACACCTTGTCAAACTACAAAGAACCTTTCCTACTTAGAAATTGTGACATTATGTATTTTATAATGTTTCAAATAAGTAACTTTTTATGTAGCTTTAACTTCGTGAAATTAAAAATAAAAGATCGAATAAGAATATTTTATCGTCTGTTGTCTTTTGTTTTTCCGTGTATTTATGCCCTTGTGTGTATTTGTATTGTCTCGTATATTTCGCATTACCAATAATAATGTCAATGTTCGAATTGCAGTACGGTGATCGCGGACATCGATCAGTCTGAGTTCGAGGGCTTCGAGTACGTTAATCCCCTCCTGATGTCGCTGGAAGACTGCGTGTGACATCACGCCTGTCTGCTGCATCCCTACCACGATCCCCTGCAGGTGAACATTGCACTAACAAAACGCATTATATTCCCATTCAGTTATATTTTAAGATCGCTTTTGAAAAGATCGCTTCGGAGAATTTTAATTCTTCAAAGATGTGGAGACATTATCACTAATCTCGTGTCAAACTCAGTGCCCCGCGTGTCTGGTAGCACTTCAGTAATTTTTATACTCCTTCCAACCATTTATTTCACTTTTGACATCTTCAATTAGTGATGTCCTAATGCGTTACCGAGTCAATTTCTTATAACAATCGATTTTATTTAAGAATCTTTAACCGTAATTTGAATTCGTTCAAAATGATCGTCTATTTCGTTGACTGAATCAAGTTAACGCTCATCATCTCGACAGACTCTTGTATAACAGCTACTTATGAGAGCACCTGGCTGAGTGCAGAAATAGATTTCTCACAGATGGCGCTGCGGCAAAAAGTCGTTAAAAACCAAAAATAAAGATCAGCAACAAGCACATAGAAAAGTTCGTAGGGTCCGCTAGTTCTCTCCGTGGGTTAGTTGGCATAACGTCTGGCACGGTTTGCTGGAAGATGTTGCTTCGTATCCAGCCGGATCGGAGGAGCTTTTTCTAAGTGTTCGATTTTTGTATTAATATTTATAACAAACTAGTGTAGTAATTTCACAAACATAATAATTGAATATCATGGTGGCCAAACAACTTAGTGACATGCAATAAAAACATGAAAATTACTTATAATGTTTTTCTAAATTCTGGTTTCTTAAAGTTATTTTTGATACAAAGATCGAAGAACACGAAGAAAAATTGTGACGACAAAAAAGCCGTTTAAACCCAATACAAAAATCTGTTATAGCGCATACAAAAATTTTTAAGATCTGAAATGAAATTAATTTCGCTGTATCTTTAGCGTCACTTAGGAATAATTGGTATGTTTCAAAAATCCCCACTAAAAAATCTCATCAGGGTCCCATCCTGAATTCTTGTTAAATATTATTCCATAAATTTTCACCAGCGCCAATGTCCCGTCAACATGACTACACAGGTTAATATTGTGTTTTTTTTATATTGAAAATTGACTTTGGAACTTTCTTTAAAATATTAAATTAATATTCTTAAAACAATTTGCTTATCTTCGCTTTTGAACGCGAAGAAAATTCAACTCGGACAAAGACAACACACCAGTGGGAATTTTTAGTGGGGATTTGTGGAACATACCGAATAAGATTAATAATTTCTCTTTTAATAATGCGAATTTGTCCACCCTGTAGGCTTACGCATACGGTGAGTCGTCGTCATCGGATTACGACTCTGTGTGCTCCGAGCTGCCGGCGCGCAAGCCAACGCTGCTGCAGCACATGTTCTGTCTGCCGCTTAACTGACGCAAGAAGAACTCTAAAAACTCCCAAGCCCTCCAATAATATCACTTTGTAATGGGATGAAACAAAACTCAGGGGTGAATAAAAACAAACAATGCCACCAACTTAACTCTGATTGCGCAAAAAAAACAAATATAATTAATATTACATAGACGCGGGAGAAACAAGTATTATCACAGTTAAGTTGGTTGTTCTGTATATTTTTCAACGTTTTTCTATAGGTCAACAATCGCATTTGATACGGATTTCCATAGTGAAACGTCAAAAAATACATGACTATGTTCACTCGTGAGTCGCTATTCATCCCCATTTATATTTGCTACATAGTGCGGAAAGAGTGAAGTGGGATTTTGAATATTGTGTTTGTCTTGTGCAGCATTTGCTCTAAACTGTCTAATTGTATTATCTATTCTACTTTCGTTTTGTTATTCAAAATTCATTCTAGAAAGTGAATGACAGCCGGGACATTAATGTTGCACAAAAAAACTACCTAGTAAAGTACTACATAGTATTTTTATTTTGAAGAAGTACTAGGCTTTGAGTACATACGTCACACTGAGCATCCAAATACATGTTAAAAGCCACTTCTCGTTTCCAAAACTAAATATAACCATCTCTTTCATTCATTAATGGTTATAGCAAGGAGGGAAAGGGACTGCACTTATTGTTCAAGTCCAAACCATCACATTTTATCGTCCTAATACTTTGATTCTTCCATTGTCTCTTTATGTAACATTTTTTTTAGTCGTTAAATGCACATTTTGACTCTTTCAAAAATATAAACAAAATCTTCGAAATTATGCTTGAAATAAAAAGTTAGTCAATTGTAGAACGAATAAAATGGTGCACACTATGGTACTTTCATTAAATGGTGACCATTCTGTTCGGAAAGTGGTTAACCTAATTTGATATTTTCTGATGTCTGGCTATAATAATGAAAATCTATCGTCCGTAAAGCACGTAGATATTATTATGTTTAAGGCAATTTTAATTGTATAAAAAAGTCGTTATTTTTATCTACAATTGATAGTGCTGACATTTTTAAACTGATTGTGGAAAGTTCGGCTTGAAAAAGTAGTTAATTAATTTTGCGTAACAGAATGATCACCGTGTATTTTTAAATTTGTAAGTTTATTTTAATTTGGTATTTTTTTACGTGTAAAATGTTGTTTACTTGAGCTCTTTTATATTAGTTTTATGAACCGTTTTGGACACGGAGTTTGCCAAGTTAGGTGCTCGGGATTGTAAAGAAAATATGGCGGAAATGAAGCTTCAATTCTCGGTAGGGAAGCAGCAAAGATGGCGTCACATTCCTAAAAAAAATTAAAATCACTATCCCAATAAGTTTTGGGACAACGCTTCTTATGTACATAATTAAATAAATTAATCATTATGTACTATACAAGAAATTATATAAGACTTAATATTTTTGAAACTATGGTAGTGTCTGTCTATCCTTTCTAAGAGAAAGGCCTAGTGTTGATAAGTGTATAACCCGACAACTGCGGATATTTAATTACGGCTCGCGCTTCCAGTATCCGAAAGACGCGGACGTTGTCGGAAAGTATGGATGTTAACTATCATTATTATGTTTTCCAGCAATAAATTAGCAGTATCTATGTATATGTGGAGACAGATAATCTGCTCAATGAAAAGGCACGTAAGGAATTAAAAGTAGTAAAAAAATTTCCGGCCCACGGGCCGATGACGCGTATTATAGCCCTTATCCAAATTAGAGTATTCCCTAGACGCCCTAGATTTAAGCTAGATTCGTAGCTACAATTTTTAGCATGGAGCGATGCGTGACGCGTTTTAGGCAGCATTTAGGGTGCGTTCAAATTAACCGCTGTTAGACGCGCTATAACCGCGCAGTGCCGTGCGACCTTCGCGCTGTTGAAGCACGATCAAATTTTTAGTAATGTTTTTTATCTTTCGACTCAGTTACGGAATGGATTCTGACGAAGAAACATTCACATATAGGTATTAAAAATGACTCACCCGCTATGTTTTTTTCAGTTGTAGTTTTTATTTCAAAATTGTCAATAAATTTTAGACATCCCATGCCTTTTTTTTATCCAGTCGATTGGAATAACTGGCGGAACTGCTATCCCATATTGCAGGGTGTTGTTTTGCATTCTCTATAAATACGCCTCACTAACCGTGACTGCAACCAAGCAACCGTGACTGCAGCGCGAACGCCGAGCGGCCGCCGCGCGGTTGCAGCGCTTCCAGAAATTGTATGAAAACTGACAGTCGCGCGGCCAACGTGCGGTCTAACAGCGGCTAATTTGAACTCATGAAACCCTTATGAATTCATATATTATGAGCAATGGTCGGAATGAAGTATTCCAAATGAGTAGATAAATCTATGTCAAAGAGTGACATAGAGTGGTTAAAATTAACTAATTACTTTTCCAAATTCCGGATATCCGGAAATAGTTTTACTGCATCGTAAGATAACGTAAAATAATTCAAATGCGCTATGTAAAAAAATGCAGTACATAACTAACCTTTTTGTATGATACTCAGTGATGGAACGAATTAGTCGTGCGCCTGGCGGTGAACGACACGCCTGTCCATAACGGTTGCAGTGCCATTCACAACTTTAAATCGCAAAGATCTGAGGGGCACTGCCACCGTGCCCGTCACCTTGAGATATAAGTTAACATGTCCCTTGTGCCTGCAATTTCACCAGCACCCTTACCCTTCAAAACCGGAACGCAGTAATGGCCACATTACTGCTTGGCGGCGGAAATAGGTAAAGTGGCAGTGTTTCCCTGGACGAACTCTTTCACAAGGAGCTCTACTGCAGAAGCAGTAGATAGTAAATTTACTATTATATTAAACCTTTCACAAAAGTAAACATTTTTTAATAAGCTAAAAGCAATAAATAGATTGTTTTAACGAATGCGAATGTTGTAGATACTGCTATAGATTGTGCTACGATGCCGTAAAACTATTTTCGGAAATACTTCGAAAAAGTTATTAATTAACATTTGGCGGTTTTAACCACAATGCTTTTGTCTATATATAGACATTTATCAACTCATTTGAAACAAACTATTCCGACCATTGATTATGACTAGCTTCATCACAATGTATAAACTAAATATAACGACATTCTCAAAAAAAATCTTATATTTATATATTTAGTAGCAATTTTTTTTACACCAAATCGTCTGCAGCTTTCGCAGAGGGCACGCCTCGTTCCTATGCTTTCGTTTTATTATAAACGTTATTTGGTAAGGACAGTCGTCTGCGGGACTCTGAACATTAAATTCAGTGTAAATCTTATTAGTAACACGGAGACAACTGTCGTTTCCATATGATGTGTAATATATTCCATTCCCTACTGTAGACCCTGTTGTCCTTCATAGCTAAACACCACTCGTTTAGGTAGCCAACGAATTTTATAAAAAAAATAATAATATTGAGCACTGAAACAAATTTTAAGTCATGTACATTAAACAAATAACTCGTACATACATTGGTTATAAAATATTATAACAAATTTATTGTTAATGTAGAAAAAAAGACTTATTATATAAAAAATATATATATTATCGTAATGGAATCGGTGGCGGTGCGCGGGCGCCGGCTGAGCTCAAGTGTCCACAAACTATTCTAAATAGTGTGTAGTACCTATCTATTAGACATTTTGCACCGATATTATAGTATATATACACATGTGCGTCGTTTCTCCGCTCGATATGTTTCGCGACGTGTTTTTCTGTCTATTGAAATTGATGTCGTCATACTAATGTATTTTGTCGATGTGTTCGTCAATAAAGCGTTGTATAATATCTAGCAGCGTTACGTTGCGCGTCGTCACGTTCGACGCCTGCGCAAGTGGGGATTTTTGTATCGTTTAAACATAAATTAAGTATTTAATTTAGCAGTATTTTGATAAAATTAACGCTTTAGATGTAATTAGTTAACATTCCAATGTAACCCGATTGGTGATGTAGTTTGACGTATTCTGTTCGTACATCACACGTATCGGATCGATGTTGCATAGTTATATTTGTTCCCAATATTTTCGCCGTTTAAAATATATGCTATTAATGTTTTTATCGCATGTTTGTCAAACGTTAAGTTTGGGTTGATAAATTTTTAAATCACCAAAAATCCATTATAACAATCAATAAGATCATACTAACAGCATGACAAGTGACATTAAACAATTATAAATTAATTGTAAGAGGAATTGTTAAACAGTTAAATGTTACATTCGCCACTTAGAACAAAAATGTATCTTAGTTTTTAAGTATGTTTAATTTCATATAAACACATTGGGTGTAACCAAGCTATTTTGAATTGTTGCAAATTGCGTGGTGGAACACCAAATAAAGTTACTTAATTGTTTCTGTAAGCCGCTTGATGCGTGGATGAGACATAATTCATTGTCAAATTGGACTGGAGAACTTGAGATACTGTACTATTCTATGCTTAACTGAAAATAAAGAAAGATTAATCCGATACTTGAGTTTAAATTTTTTCAAATTCATTTTTTTAAAGAAACCAATTTTTTTCATTGTTGACAATGGGACCTTTAGGCACAGGCTACATTGCGAGCGAAACTAAGCTAAGCTAGCTTAGCTCACATGGCTGCACACAACTTACTACTTACTAACTTAAGTAGGCGACTTGCCTCGGTTAGCTTAGTTCGCAATGTGAACAGATGTATGAAAATATGCCGCGGCTACGTGAGCTAAAGCTAACTTAGCTTCGCTCGCGGTGTGGCGTGCGCTTTAGAACTCAAAACATTGGCTTGTTTGAAAAAAGAAACAAAAAAATACACCCAGAACTAGCAATCGGTAGAGTACTAAAAAACCGACCTCAAAAGTCATTCATCCCCTAGTTTGCCACCCTTAGCGGTAACTATTTTCTTCAAATTAAAATGGGACCACTTCTGAAGTACCCTCTTTCCAACAAAAAAATAATATAAGAACATACAGTCGAATTGAGCCCTTCGGTACAATTGGTCTACTTTCCCGATCGATCCACTTGTTTTTCCCGATTCGTCTATTTCCCTGAATAGACGAATCGCGATAGGTCTACTTTAACGTTGCATCTACTCAGATAATCTCAGTACAGAGTACTAAAGAAAGCGACCTCAAAGGTTTGTGGAGTTACTTATCTATTTGCCAAGTTTTATTGAAATTTTCATGCAGTTTCCACCAATAGATAGAGTGACAGTGAAATTCATTACGTAGTCTACCAGTATATGATGAGTCCTGAGAAAGGGGCGGCTGGTACTGACTACATGGCCTGGGGCCTAGGGCGGCTAACACTGCAAATCCGCCACTGGCAATTACTATGGACAAGCACGTACTGACGCAGGACTTGTTCGACCCGTCACTAGCTATAAAAAAAACACACTTCATAGATGACTACGAAATATAATACCCACAATAACGACTTCAAAACAGAAGCTAATGGTCTGGAAGTTGCACCTTGGATAGTGAAAGTCAGTGGCAGTGAGTTGAATTTAAATGCACGACTGCAAAGTTGCATGTGTTATTTATTGCACACACAGTGGAATCGAGGTAATATATTAATTATGAATAGAAAAACAAAAAGATCTATCCGAAAATAATTTTATTTTAACATAAATGCACGTAGATTACAGATATTGAACAAAACGAAAAAGGAACGTCGAAAAATAATTTACAAATTTGAGTGTACAATACATCCATTGCGTACTCGAATCTGTTGCAATATAGTTTTCTCTTTTACACATTTTCTAATACCTAACGTGATATACGCTTATCTCTTTCTAATAAATACATATTCTAAATTGCAATTCCTACATTGGCATTTAAGCGAAATTTATTAAATACATTTCTCTCTCTCTCAATATTAAATAAATACTGGATTTCATTTCTAACAGTGAATTACGTAATGCATAAGAAAATAAGTTAAAATTTGTATGGTACAAATATAGATTTAAAAGATATTTTAACCTGAGTAAATAATATAAGTACTCGATATAAAAAGGTACTACAAAATTAAGTAATTTCATTATCTACATGAAACTTACTTTTACTACGAGGTCTCATCACCTCATGCATTACAAAAACAAAATGCGAAATGGAAGGAGTAAATTATTTTTGCGACTTGAAAGAAGACCCTGCAGTAAAAATTTATCCATAAAATAGTATCCTATAATTTTGTAGGACCTTGTGTTACACTTACTCGACAAATATAAATTTTGTCCTTTTCACCGCTTTGAAAGGAAAAACACGTGAAAGTAAGTTAAGGGACAAATTGACCCCATATAGGTGTTTTAATACTGTTATTGGAGATTCTATAACTCTGAAGAGATCTTTTATACCGAGGTTACCATGTGGAATGAACAATACTCTCTATTAAATGGTAACAACTACAATAAGCTTAAAATATGGTCCACAGCTACGTTAAAAAGATATGACTCAAAGCAGTTTATGATTTTAACTCATTTGAGTATAGAGAGCACTTTTTAAAGTTCATACTGTTTTTGTATACTAATACTCACGCTTCGGGAATTTTTTTTAAGGTGTTCTATTTATAGTACTTTTTTATGATGTAACACCGACTTCTCTCTGTCATATTAACCATTGGTTTTGATAGAAAATTTTATTCAAAATTATGAGCTAAAACCACAAACTGCAGCTATTATAAATATACTCCAAACGTGTAAACACTAAATGTTTCACACAGAGGCGTTTCTTACATTTACTAAATTTTCTGAAAATCGATTCGGGCATTCATACTGGTACTATCCTTTCATCATAGATGGCGCCTCAAGGATATTTCAATAAGAATAATCAAATTATGCATTACGAATCAAAAACACATTCGGAAGATGGTAAGTCTTTAATTTTAGAACGTGATTGCGTAAATCATTATAAAATGTTTGGTTGAAAATTCGAATTGTTTGAAAACTACACAAAGCACCACAGTTGACACGCTCATTAATAAATTGAAAAAAATCAAAAAGAAATGTTTAAGAAACTAACGTCACAAACAATTTATGTGAGTATGGTAACGGCATTTTATGCTATTTGGCTAGTATAGTATAATAAATATGACAAAACTCTATTTCATATGAAAGACAGAAACATTCCATACTTTTTTCTTAAATAATTTAACTACTTTCCCAAAAGTGTTAGTTTTTCAAATTCGTCACTTTATTAGAGAGGGGGTGCGAATTAATAAGAAGGAAAATTTGGACATAAATTCACAGTGTATGACGATAGCTCATAAAGCTCGTGTAAGAAACGCACCCAAAAAATTTTGGTTTTATATTATGATATCACTTCACCTATGTACGTATGTAAATAAATAAGACAAAAATATTTAAATAAAGTAAACATTTTGTCAAATGACTTCATTTTATACTTTACTAAAACATATAATAAATAACACATATACAGATAATTTGAATTACTCGAAAAGAACAAATATTAACGAATCAAAATATCAAAGAAAATTGTTTATACAGCACTTTTTTCGTTCAGGAATAAAGTGTTATAATTAATTATGCCGAATGAGCCTTTTTAAAAGCGATAATATGTCAAAATAAGTTTCGTAAAATGTACTACTACTGAATATGTTTTCGAACAACAGATAACAAGTATGGAGTAGGGTACAAAATAAAAAATCAATTGACAAAACAACTTATTCCGCTTATGGTATCACAAAATTACTCACTATAATGCCTCTATGAGGCAAATAATAAAAAGAAAAACAAAAGTTATTTTGAATCTTGAAATTGATATAAATAAAGATGAAAATTAGATAAAGTTAAGTACATTTTTCCTAATGTTTGAAATGAGGAAGCCAGACATTATGGCTGTATAATGCCTAAAGTACACGCTTTACGAAAATAGGGACTCAGATTCAAGCTCGTTTAAATTTATTAAAACTAATAAAATTTCATCGTGTTTGCAGATTCAAGTTAACATGTGCGAGCGGTGTCCATATTAGACACGGTGACTTTTAACAGCGCATCTGCAGCGATTCAGTCGCGATGCAAATGCGATGCAGTTGCAGTTACAGTGATACGATCGCGATGCAAAAGCGATACAGTATTGTTGCAATCGCGCGTTTTTATCGCTCCCAAATGTCGCCGTGTGTAACCGCTCTTACTTCCAACTTGTTTCTTTTAATCATGTCTTACACTTTTTTTAATATAACATCTCTTAATATTTCTTTCCCTTTTTTACATCACATCTCTTATACTAAACATAATCTAGGATGATTGCTGTGACAATTCATAAAAATCTACACAATATAACCTTGTAACGACGTGCACTAATTTATGTATTTCATAAACAAGTTTAATAAGGCTCGCTTTTAAATAAATAGCTTTTGTTTAAGTAAATACATTAAATTAAAGTAAAAATAACACTAAATCATATTTGTGAGAAATGAGCGGAAACATTTTCTTTTTTTCCAAAATTCTTAATTTTTTACAACATGCAAAGTTTACTTCATTACACTGCATTTATTAAAGATGAGGTAAATCGATAAAAAGGTTTCGATAATTTAATGAAAAAATGTATAGTGCGTGTATTCATTCTTAAATAATCAATTTTAATAATAGGCAATGAATTGACATATCAGTGTTGTTACTTTTTTGAAACCTATAAATTAATGTTATAGCCTAAAAATAAAATAAATGAACCTCTAATGTTTTTTGAAATTGACTAAAATATTAATTGAAATAGTATTTGAATTATATTTGTGAGATTTATGCCTTCAATATAACGCAAAACAGTTCACAAATCTATACGTTGTTCATAATACGTAATAAAAATAAAAATATAAGAAGGAACCTTTGCTTCAACAATCCTAAATGCACTAAAATTTATCGACTACCTCATCTTTATGACAAATACAGGGTCACAGGGATCATCCAAGTTTGTGTTTAAGTATAGTAATAAATTTCCTTATAAAATGGTTCCAATCGAGTTTTTATGCGTGTGTTAGGAAAAGGGCTTAAATAAATTAACTATGAAAATGAGACTATATGCTGTGTCGTATGTGCGAGGTTTATTGGTCGCCGTTCTGCGCGAGTTTCTGCTTCTTGGTTGGTGGAGAATACTTAGAAAACAGACGGCCAGAGTGCAGATCATTCATGAGGAACGGCAACTGCATCAACGAAAACTGTTATTAAGTTCATTCGAATTAGGAATCCGATAGGAAACTGACCAATTACAGGCTCTCATAAAATTAGTGTTAACTGTGATGGCAAAAATGACGTGACGTCACGATGTCCTCATACAACGCAACCAGAGACAATTTACACAAGTGTCAATGTTAAAAAGCCATGAAGATACCTTATGCTCCAACTGCATGTGGTGGTTGGGCTGCAGGCTGAGGCAGGCACGCAGCAGATTGTCGATGCACGCGCGCTGCTTGAACAGTGCATTCACTACCGGGGCACCCGGAGGGACCATGGGGGCTTTCAGGAGATAGGCCAGTGGGGACAGCACACAGTGCATGGAAGACCACTCTGCAAATAAATATATAAAAAGTATTTCAAAATGAGAGAATGCGCGAAACCGGATTCAGTTCAGTTTGCCACCCTTAGAGATTTTTTCAAATTTTAATGGGACCAATAATGAGGTACCCTCTCTCCAACAAAAACAAATCATCAAAATCGGTTCACTAAATCCTCCGGAGTAACCGATACATACAAAAAAAATAGTCGAATTGCGAACATCCTCCAATTTTGAAGTCGGTTAAAAATCTTAATAAAGATAGAGACGACCAATGATTCTGATTACGCGCAATTAATTTTGTAACGCTCTTTCTCGCTCGCACACATTCACAATGGCTATAATTGTTCCCATCCAAAGTCAGCCAGACACATGACTCCAAACAAAAAACTTAAACAAGTAAAAGATAATGGTATACAGAACAGAGTGTACGTGTATGATGTCGAAGATCCTTTGCGAATTGCTGAGATAATTTGTTAACAGACACACTAACTCTACAGTATTCTACAAAATAACGTACCTTGATGTTCGTCAGCGCGGAAACTGACACGCGAGAACAGCTCAGCGAGCAGCACGAGATCAAGGATAAGCGGTACGGCTAAAAGGGAATCTTCGCAGGTGTTGTGTACCACTATGGTATTGTGGCCATGCAGCAGGATCTCGGAGGTGTATTCGTCCATTGCACGCTTTGAATCACCTGTGTATTTGAATAAATCATAAATAAATAATATAATAAAACTTGGTACAGTCGATGCCCTAAGTCATTTAAGCTACTGCTCGTTCACTACACTGACTTCACCGAGAAGAACGAGTAAGAAACTCTAGCGATTGCTCTTTTCAAATAAACTTAAATGCTGTAAAATTTTTGAAACATATTTGTGAGGAATCTAGACTCACGTTGTCTTTCCATAAAACTTTATCTAACACGAAGTCAACAATTTTGTAATATGACTTTTCAATTAAAATACTTTTAATGCAAGTTGTAAACTTAGGAAATGGTAATCTTAATATATGCCCTAATCATATTGTAAAAACGTATACAGTTCCCCATATACATTACGTATACATTCCTAAAATACCGACTCTCTATCCGACCGTTTGGTTCTGAGAGCCATTTTACGCATTCAACAGGAAAGAATTAAGGGTATTCCATTTATCAAATTGTAAAGCAGGCTTGTAAAGCAGGGGCTTTTAAGAGGTCACTTCCAGCATTGTTGTAAGGTGAACAACGTATTTTTTTATGTTTTTTTTTTTTCAATTCTGATAATTAATTTAGCGTCTGTTATAGGGTACGAACTAAAAAAACAATTATATCTAATCATAATCAAATACATCTAGTACATATAAATTTTTGTTCCTAGTGAACTAGTTCGTCCAGGGAAGTACTGCCACCTTATTTATTTCTGTCGCCCAGCTATAATGTAAGCATTACTGCGTTCCGGTTTTGAACGGTGCTGGTGAAATTACTGACACATTAGACTTATCAACTTATCACAGCGTGACGGGCGCAGTAGCAGTGCCCCTAAGTTCTTTGTGTTTTAAAACTCAGAGTGACACTGCAACTGTTATGGACAGCCGTGTCGCTTACCATCAGGTTCGTCCCGTCACTTGGTGTCTAAAAAAAATCTACTTTTGAATGTTGACTATAGTTACAATTGGGCACAGATATGCCTGAAGACCAAGCAAAAAGCGACCTATTGTAATTTCCAAGTGTTTTTTTTATTCCTATATTGTTTGTGTCTGATATCTGTTATTGTGCCTTAAATAAAAAAAAATACTGAGTTGCGCAGGGAGCACCTCATGTACACGGTCCTATGAAAAAAAATTATATAAATAAAAATAAAAATTGAAAAACCAAGACTGACCAACATATGGCACGTATTTGATTACAACGACGTGATCGGGCTTCTCTCCGGGCTTGTACAGCACCGGGTTGGACTCCACTACGTCGTCTACGACGTTGCTCTTGGTGATCTGCGAACATGTATTGTGGTTATTACAAATGCCTGAAAGTTTTTAACCTACGTGCATTGGACCTATCAACAATTTATTAATTTATTGGTAGATCAATGCCTGCGTGCAATAATGAATAAATAATAATATTATTCCAGTCTTTTATTTATTTTTTCTCTTGTTTATGTTTATTGGTAATAATTAAGTCGCTTATTTTCTCCCGTTATGTAATAAACTTACTTCTTTAGAGCGGAACTGCTGAGGCGCTGAGAGATTTTTGCCGTCGTTATTGCCAAGATGGTTATAGCTTACGATTGATACGGGTTTCAGACCTAAAACAATAATAGATTATTTGTTGGGTCAATATCATTTCGCACCCCTCATGGAAGGATAGCACAAGTGGAGTTACGTTAAAAATGTTTATTGCTCCATTAGATACAGAAAAATATAACCCACATCCTCTCCAATTCTTGTAACTCTATCGACTAATATCGTCGAAGATGTGTTTTGGAGAGTTGGAAAGCTGAATTGGAGAGGACGTGGGTTATATTTTCTGTATCTAATGGAGCAATAAATATTTTTGACGTAACTCCACTTATGCCATTTTTTCATGACGGGTGCGGTATGTAACTTATTTGTGCTCTTTGTCGTCCTGATTAGATTTGTTTCGCCTGTCGTATTTGTATCGTAACCAGGAAATAAACTGTAAATTAGATTAACGATTTTTGTTTTGTTGTAGATCCTTTGTTCAGAATTGTACCTATTAATTATCTTCCGACAATGTACGATAGAGAACACGGGCGGAGACTGAAAAACAGCACTATGCTGAGCGTGCAAGCTGATCTGCGATCTGTTCGCGCGCATACATTAACATATATTTAACAGCACGTCTGCAGCACGCGTGCAGGGTGCGCTCAGCGCACATGCAGTGCGTTCGCGGCCCATTCGCCAAATCTGTACATATCCTTAGGTTTCGTCCTTTTCGTCAACGTAATAATAGAAATCAGTGTTACTTGTATTATGTGATTTTCTGTACACATTTGTGTTTTTTTTTTAAATAAAGTTCTATTTATTTATTAAGCTAGCCAAATACGCGTATTATGTAAAGCGAAGAAGCTTGACCGTGTACGCGGTCTCTAAGGCATCTACTCACCAGCGGAAACCAAGAAGTCGACAAGAACAGATTTCAGCTTGGTCTGTCCGGATTTGAAATCGTCACCAGCCACGAATACGCCGTTCTTTTCAGCGCGTTCGATCACGCCCGCCACTATCGTGTTTTGCGGGGAGCCGTTGATGTAACAACACTGTCAGAAGAAATCAGAGTTGTAGTGTACTGACGACACGTGTAGAAGCATATATACATATGTTTAATAGAGCATCAGATAATTAGACTACAAACTTAAAAGGGGGATGTTTAGGTACAAGGAAAAAAGAAGTTAGCAACTTCTGTTTATATTTCGATTACATAGAAAATTGGTATTTCGCCGTTAAAAAATACGAACTCAACATGTTTTTTAATTGACAATGAAAACTGACCATCCCGGTAGTGAGCTATGGAACCCGAAACAAGATTGATAAAACTTCGCTGGATAAAAAAATCACAAATTTCCGCAAATTTTGTTTTTTTTTTTTTCATTTATGGGCAATTCAGTTTCTTTCTATTGTTATTACTGTTATTAGAGATATTTCAATGATTTTTTCTGTACAGTGTTTCGTAATAAATACTCCAGGGGACTGTGTGCTTATTTTACAGTGAAACAGCATATTTTATTTCTAAAAGGTATATACGTTTAAACACCGTGCAATGGTTTCTCTGCGTCTCCCTCACGCGGTTCAAAACCTAGTAATGGCGCTGGTGAAATTACAGGCACATGGAACTTGTCAACTTATGTCTCAGGGTGACGGGAAGGGTGACGGCAGTGGCAGCGCCCCTCATATCTTTGTGATTTGAAGCTCTGAGTGGTACTGCAACTGTTATGGACAGGAATGTCGCTTACCACCAGGCGCACGACTTGTTCGTCTCGTCACTTGGTCACCACAATACCATTTCGCCTTAACATAAATCACATTTTTATCAATATACTGTCACGCCAAAAGGTATCCTCCTCCTGTTTTTGGTGTTTTGGTTCATACTTACTCCCTCGTCAACGGCTGCCATTGCGAAGATGGTAGACGGTGAGATTTCGGGCTCGTTGTTACGCAACGCCTTCTCCAGGTTTTCCGATGTGTCGTGGATGCCTGCCTTCACTTCGCAGAAACTACAAAACAAACTTTTATTTGAAGTTTTTGTATTAAAAATTTGTTGCGAGCTGTGAGATATTAGTCTTTTCTCGAATTCGAATAGGACTGGAAATGCAAATGCGCCGTAATACGTAATACGTAGGTGTGTATATGCATTTTGGAAAACTGAATATTAAGTTATTTAAATTTTTATTAAATTGCTATTTAATTATTTTTGGTTAAATTACTCCACTAGTTTGTTATAATTATTAATACAAAGATCGAACACTCAGAAAAAATTTCTTCGATCCGGCCCTATACGAACCGACGTCTTCTAGCATACCGTGCCAGACGCTATACCAACTAAGCCGCGGAACGAACCAGCGGACCTCACGAATTTTTCTATGTGCACGGTATGCTAGAAGACGTCGGTTCGTATCGGGCCGGATCGAAGTAATCTTTTCTGATGATATGTCATAATTCTTACATCCATGTTTTTGTTTGTTGCGTGTGAATGCCGGCCGCATCGTGAGAGTACCTTCATCGGAACTAATCGCAGATAAATTCAACTCAAAACGTATGATTTTAATTTTTGTCTACCTACATTATTTTTCTTAATACGCAGTGAATGGTGATGATTGTATAGATTTTAGTGCGCTTTACTATTAAGTTTTGAAGTAAGATCTTAAATTTTCTCTATAAGTGAATTTATATTCTTAAGAGAAATAAATATTCTTTAACCATATTTTATTAAGAAACAGGTATAAAAAGAAGAACTTAAATCTAGGCTGCTAACGGTGTAACAAAAACCATTTTTGGTTTAACCGTACACATTCACCATCGCAGTAAATAAATTAAAAGTTACAGTAATAAAAAAAATAGGATTAATTGGTTTGAAATTGAATAAATTTACTTATTACTTTTTATCACAAAAATAAACCTTAAGGGTTGTTAAATAAGGGATAAAAGTTTGTATGGAGAACCAATAAAACTATGAAAATCAGTATAGTAGGCTACTCGTATTTATTCGACTCAGACGTAGTTGCATGCACCAGCTAGTATTTATATATTTTTTTACTAGTATTTATATATTTTTTAATTATAATTGTTTGTAATTAATTAGTTATAAAAATAGGCTTAAAACCAAACAAATAACTGGATTAGGGCCTAATTGGGTAGAAACATGTAACCGGATACGAAAGCATGGTGTGCGTTTTTCACGTTTTCCAATTTTCCAAGCACGATTCAGAATTGAAGGACTTCTTAATGTACGATATACCTATTAATATTTCTGACTTGATAACATCACAGCCAAACGATTTACGTTGTAGGCGCTGAATGCGGTGGTCCCGGGTTCGATTCCCGGTAGAACCAATTTGGGAATTATAAGCATGTGCACGGTATGCTAGAAGACGTCGGTTCGTATCGGGCCGGATCGAAGTAATCTTTTCTGAGTGTTCGATCTTTGTATTAATAATTATAACTAAATAAGATATTTTAAAAACCGTTTATAAGAGGTCGATTCGTTTCGCTGATTCCAGATAATGTTAATAACGTAAAATGTAGAAAAGTGACGCGTAACGTACTCATGACTGAACAGTTACTTCAAATAATATACGATTAAATATCACTGTTTAAAATAAGAGATATATAATCCAAACAATATCCTAATTCATATTACATGAATAATTTTACCGTTGAGAATTAAATTCAATCATAAACAACTAACGATATTAAAATTGTAATACCATTCTTGTAATACCATTCTGTTGATTGTACATCGCACGATACCCTACGTAGCATTTACGTCATAGCATGGCCATGAGAAATACACCGTCAAAAGTACGCAATGTACGTATATATGATTATAAAACAGTGCATATGAAGACTACAGGAAAAACATACGCCGCTTTATTTCTAGATGTTAGTGTTAATTTATTGTAGGTTGGTTAGAAATATGAATGACGTGTCTTATTCCAGCGTCATCACAATCTAGTATTTAAAATTTTACAAGCAAGGTTGACTTGACTTGAAACTTGACTTGGTCAGTTGTAGTACTTTCTTTTTTTTTAATAAAATAGACCAGAGGTTCCCAAACTTTTTTATTTGGTGAACAAATATTTTGTATTTTGCATAGACCCCCGGCCTTTCTAACACTGATTTTTTATAAATTTTTATATTGTTTCACAGCAGGCTCAGTGCTAGCGAGAAACATAGAGTTTCTAAAAATATATGTTAAGTTTCATACGATACGTAACGCTTCGGAACTTCATTTAAACTTCAGGTAATTTACATGTCTATTATAAAATAAAATCTGTGTAATGTGGATTGTTCTATTTATGGAGAGCTAAAATTTTGGTCACCGCTTACCTAAATGGGTTCAAACTAGAATAATTTCATAGATAAACAAATTACACTTAAAATCGTCATATTGATTAAACTCCAATGCTCATTCGTAAGGCAGACTCCCCTGAGAAGATTGAGCAAGAAACTCTAAGGGTTACTCCTTCTAAATATACATTTGTACACATTTATCATTTACCATATTTATTTCAAAAATCTCAAACCTGCAAACGCTAAACGGGTCACTACGGTTTTTTGTCATCCAAGTATGCAGGAGATGTATAATAACTTTTAGAATAAAGTTTTTCACTATAGTTTTAAACCTCCACCAATTAACGTCTCACGCATTCTCATTTTTTTGCGCTGACGTGTACCCCTTGTCGGTTGAAGTGGACCCCTGGGGGTCGATATAGCCCACTTTGGGAATCATGGAAATAAACGAACGCTTGCGCACAATCTCACTTGATGTTAAGCGACGATGTGATTGACGATATTTTTAGTAGCAGTAATGATCCTTGCGGAAAGAGATCGCCCAGGGAAGTACTGCTTAAGCTTACCTATTTCTGCCGCCAAACAGTAATGTCAATTTATTTCAAATCAATAGTATTATTTAACCATAATTATGCGAATTGATTACAAGGAACCTAGAGATGCGTAGATTTGCAAGATTATGTAAATACCACTATGTAGGCAGCTATGTAAATACAATTGTGCCAGCCACAAAACCATTTTCAGGGGCATAGCTACTCTTTTCTACATACTTGTTGCTCAATTAACATAAACCAAAACTGTCAAACAAAAAACAGAACCTTTTTGATTTTTTCTATTTCTACTTTTTATTTATTATTAAAGACCCATAGATATAGACTAACATACATACATTAATAAAACACTATTTATTTACACATGGATTGTGACGTGTGACGCAACGTGGGTGTCCGGTAACCGTCCTCGGAAACACCAGTAAATGACACCCTATGGCCAAAACTCCTTCTTCATGAAAGTCGACAGATGTTGAGTTGAGAGTCTCACCACATATGAATTAAAATTCACAATGTGGTGGGTCCCCAACTGCTTGACGTCCAGGTTAGCATTGGCTTTCACCCGTATATAGTCCGCAAATTTGTTACGTAGTGTTATTAATGTTTATATATCACGGGAGACATTAATACGATTATTTGTCGCACCAGTAGGGCTAGCACAATAGGGCGCGACAAGCGCGAGAGCGACATAGAGCGCGTGATTTGTGATGCGGGAATAGCAGTATCTCGCGCTTTATGTCGCTCCCGCTCACAACTTATTGTGCTAGCCCTACAGGTGTCCCGATTAAACTAATAGTTACGACAATCGACGGCGTGCACAATTGTAACGTAACTATTTTATCGCGCACCTGGCCAATTGTTGTGGCCAAGTGTTCTTAGAAGTGATAGCGTAATAAACTTCTCCATATTTACCTAAGAATAATAGCAGGCTAGACATTATCAGTGACAATAAAGAGGAACTCTCAGTGATGTAGTGACTAGTAAATTTTTACTTTTTAAACGTAAGTTTATTTATTGCATAACACTTTTTTTTATAATTTCAAGTGACGGGACGACTTGTTCGTCCCGTCGCCTGATGGAAGGCTACGCGCCTGTCCATAACAGTTGCAATGCCACTCAGAGCTTTAAATCGCAAAGATGGAAGGGGCACTGCCACCGCGCCCGTCACCCTGAGACATAAGTGACAAGACCCATGTGCTTGTTTCACCAGCACCCTTACCCTTGAAAATCGGAACACATTAATGCTGACATTACTCCTTGGTGGCAGAAATAGGTAAGGCGGCAGTATTACCCTGGACGAACTCTTTCACAAGGACCGCTACTGCTACTGCTACTAACAATTCAAATGAAACCAATTCGGCTATTTATTCCATAAGCGTCACCAATAATAAGTCGATAGTCGATAGAATATTTATCGACTGCAATCACTAGCAGCTCGCAAGCGCGCGACACATTTGCACAATGAAAAATTTTACTTTGTCTTCAAAAAACACAGACTACAGATTATATTTATCCAAACTACAAAGGGCAACGAAGGGCACTTTTCGGTCCCACGTGTTATTATCAATGCACAAAGTGAAATTGATACAAAATGACGGGACCAGTCGTACGCCTGGTGGTACGCGATACACCTATTCATAACAGTTGCAGTGCCATTTAAAGCTTTGAATCACAAAGATCAGCAGCTTGATTTTGATTGTCTCTCCCGATCGGAAACTGCGTCTTTTCCGATTCGAGGAGTATAATATTGCGGATGGGCTACCCGATCGCATCGATTCCTATTTGAATTAAAATCAGGGCTCTGAGGTGCAATACTAATTTGGCTGTTACCCTCTGACATAAGTTGACAAGTAATTTTACCAGTATCCTTAAAAATCGCACACATCCTTACAAACCCTTCTAAACCGCAACGCTGTAATGCATACAATACTGCTTGGCAACAGAAATGGATAAGGTGGCAGTACTTGCCTGGAAGAACAAATCACATAAGTATTTTAATTGAAAAGTCATATTACAAAATTGTAGACTACGTGTTAGATAAACATGTATGGAAAGACAACATGAGTCTAGATTCCACACAAATATGAATCAAAATGTATTCTATAGCATTTAAGAGTCGTATTCTAGAACTCTATTCAATGCTCAAGTACGGATTTGAGTATGGTTTAAAGCACTCGAAATCATACTTAAGTCCCTGCCATTAGGGTCGTATCTCCAGTGCTTGAAATCATACTCAAGTCCCTGCCATTAGGGTCGTATTTCCAGTGCTTGTGTTGCCAGTGCAATCCTGACTTGAGCATTGAATAGAGTTCTAGAATACGACTCTCAGTTTATTTGAAAAATCCCTAGTATCTTATTGGTTCGGCACAGTGAACGAGCAGTGGCTTAAAAATAACGTTTTCAAGTGTAAAAATTTTATTTGGCATAAATGATTTTTTTGCTTTGACTAAGGAGCTCTACAGCTTCTTAATATATGTATACTTAACATTTATTCATTTATTATAACAAAACTCGTATTTAATTTGACTAATAACAATCGTACATTTATCATGTCACTTATAAATGGAGTTTAAAACAAGTTCTAAAGTGTATCGTGTTGTTAACGTAGCCAAAGTTTTTGAACTAGTTTCTAAGGAAAACATGCTCAACTATGCAAATAATAAATAATAACTTGCCAAAATACCCAAGAATCATTGACGTAATATTGTTTAATGCTTAGGTCGTATCTACGCGGAAATAAGACCGGCTGGCTGCGGCGGCGGTAGCGCTTCGTCACATGGCGCGATGTGTAATGCTATCTTTTTCACGTGTGTAATGCTATCTTTTTCACGTGTGTAATGCTATCTTTTTCACG